AGCCCAAGTAAAGTTGCCATGTGAGTTTGAAATCTGACCGTTGGAACACGTGTCAGTTCCTTAGTGACCCAGGGTCATCTCAGACAAATCAGGTCGGGTTGCCAAGTGGCTATAAATAGCCCACCCCCTACAACCATAAACGGTTGGCTGCTCAGATTCAGAGTACGGCTTTTGTCGTTTGAGAGCAACCCACCTCGAAGCCTTTGAGAGAGAATTCCTTGCGAGGATAAAGCCCTAACCACCCAGAGCCAAAGAGAATTAGGCATCACTTAAGTCTTCTTGTCTGTGTGATCTGAAGACTTATTACACTTGAGGACTGTGCATCCTCCAGCCGGTTAGGCGTCGCGTTCTGAGCATCCAAGAGACATTGTGGATTGCCGGTGAACGAAGTCTGTGAAGGTTTGGGAGTCTACCTTGAAGACTTACCAGAGTGATTGGGCGAGGTCTCTATGACCTTAGCTCAAGGGGAATACGGTGAGGACTGGGTGTCCTGAGCTGCGTGTTCAGGACTGGGTGTCCGTGACTGTGTGTCCTAAGGTTTAAATACCTAGCCGCCCTAACCAGAGGTATAGTTGTCACAGCAACTGGAACTGGTCCAACAAATCATTGTCTTCAGCGAGTCACTGGTTTCATCTTCCCTTCCCTTTACTTACTGTTACTCCTTGTGAAGTCATTGTATGTTTGCACTATCTTTTGTCTTCACTGAGTGGTTGTGTGTTCTGTGTGGCTTCACAATATCTTCCTACCTGATCCTTACTACATTGCTGCTATTAGTCATTGTGCTTTCACTCTATTGAATACTTGACTATGGCTTGCCTAGTGTAGTCTACCTTCCGCTGCAGGGTAGTAGGTTTATTTCTATCGTTTGTCTTCATAACTTCCACGTTTTGAAGACTTTCATAAAAATCGCCTATTCACCCCCCCTCTAGTCGATATAACGCACTTTCAACATTACATATGGACGATTTCTGGAGCTGGGTTCATGAGAAGAATTGAGTTTTTTCGATGAGGTCGGCCTATCGCATGCTCATCAGTACAAAAATGAGGAGGGAAGCCTGGCTTGAGGGCCGGTCTGACGCCTCTAATACCGAGGGTGAGCAGCGAGCATGGTCTAAGCTTTGGAAGGTGGATGTCCCATCAAAGGTGAAGATCTTCTTGTGACGCCTCGTGCAGTACTCTATGCCTACGGCAGACATTCTACACGACAGAAACATGTCGACGACCAACTTCCAAGCTATGTGGGGCTGAGGATTCATGGCAACATTCTCTTCTTCACTGTAGCGTCGCACGATGTGTATGGGCCCTACAGGACCCTGACATTTATGAAGTCTTGAACAATGCAAGGGAGCCAGATGCCAAGAGATGGATTTTTGCCATTATGGAGATGCTATCATCTGCCGAATTCACACAAGTGTTGGTGACACTATGGTCTATTTGGTATGCTAGAAGGCAGGCCATCCATGAAAGTATCTTCCAGAGCCCTATGTCTATCATACTTTCATAATGTGGTATATTCGGGAGCTTCAGGACTGTAAACCGAAGCAAAAACCACGTGTGGTAGGGACCAGATCTTCTGGTCCTCGAACGGGGTGGATCCCCCGGAGCCTGGGGTGGCTAAGATCTAGGTAGATGGTGCGGTCTCAAGGAACCAAAGTGATGGATCAATTAGTGTTGTTTGCAGGACGTTAGAAGGTGTTTTCCTGGGAGCCTCGTGCATGAAATATAGTGGCATACCGGAGCCAGCCACTTTAGAGGCTCTTGCCTGTCACGAGGCTCTAGCGCTGGCAACGTACTTGCACCTGGAGAGACTTCTCATTGCATCCGATTGTCAAGCTGTGGTTTGAGATATTCAGAGTCGGACGGGAGGTGCATATGCGACTGTTATTAGGGAAGTTAATGCGAGAGCGGCAAACTTTCAGCAATGTTCCTTCATCTTTGAAGGAAGAGATTCGAATGTTGAGACACATAGCCTCGCTAAACATGCTTTTGGTCTGGAACCGGGGCGCCATGTGTGGCTCTTAAACCCCCCAGACTTGATTTGTATTTCGGTGAAGATTATTAATCAATAAAGCAAGTGGTTTAGACTAAAAAAATCAAAATGTGAAAAGGCATCATGCCGTCGGCCGAGTAGAACCCCTGCCCCCCAGTCTTTGTAGACTAGAATAAGGTCAAATCCACTATCACCGCCGCCACCACCCTTCCCTTGTAGCCATGGCGACACGACAGCCACCAATAGGCACATGGGCCACCGCGTAGGAGTCCAGGCTCCACTAAGCCGCTCCCTAGCAGGAGGGCTCCCCGCAACGAGGAGACGAGCCAACCGTCATCGTTGGCCTGACTGGCTTAGCTTGGTGGCTTCTCCGACGACGACGAGATAGGCAGGAGGAGATGGGATGGGGTGGCCATGGCTAGGGTTGCTCCCAAGCCGTTCTCGACCATTCAGTCCATACAAGCAAGATGCACGTGCATTGCACGAACCATCAAGATGCAATTTTTTTTTGTAAAACACCTGTTGTGATTGACCCATGCGGGAGTAATCCCATGTGTAAAAACTAATGATATCTCGAGAAAGATGAGACATAAGGTGAGGAGGAGTGGGGCGTGGTGGTGATTGGTGATCAGACTGAGCGGAGGCATGGGGATGGACGACGCCGGCAGTGCCCACCATGCCAGATTATTCTAGAGGCTTTCTTTTTTTAATTTCTCAACAATGAGGTTGTGGGAGATAAGGATAAACGAGGGAAGGCCTTATCTGCAAATGTGGAGAGAGATGCGGATATCTTTTTTGCAAAATTGCCATAGTTTGCTTTCTATCCGTCAGATATAGATCGGACGGTCTATATTGCAAGATGGCAGGCACACCATCATCACCA